GTGTGTGTGTGTGTGTGTGTGTGTGTGTGTGTGTGTGTGTGTAATATTCACACAGCTTCAAAGACATTTCTGTTGGTGCCGTTTAAACAGTGACTTTGAAGAGCTTGCTTAGCCATAAGAAATGATATATCCTGCTCATGATAACTTATTAACTGCAACATATACTAAAGGTCCACCGTGGTAAAGGACATACTCATCTTTGTCAACAGTCACTGTATTTGTGTTGATGCAGCAGTCAGCCCTGTTGCCTTGTAGCCCCCACCCACACTTCACCACCTCATTTCCTCTCATCTTTTTTTTTCATTGCTGATTGGTTCCTAAGTTTCTTTGCTCCTTGTGCCAAGTTGGCACACATTACATAAGGACTGCACACTCTCACTCATGGAGCAGCAGATAAGGTGAGTTTGGTTTATTCTTCTTTTTAATTTATTACGACTTTTCTTTAAGTTAATGACTTAGTCTGACCTCATTTTCTCTTTTGACTTACATGGACTTCGGCACATTGCTTTTCTTCATTAATTCCTTAAAGTTAACCACAAAGAAAACGGGGACAACATCACACCAGTGAACCCAAATCATCACCAGTACCCCAATCTGACTAAATGTGGTCATTACTACAAGAGCTGGATGTTACACTGCAAAGTCAGATCTTCTGTTTAAAAGAAATTAATTCAGCATGAACTAATTTCTTTTATTTCTCCTAGTGGCTATATATAGATATAGATATATAGATATAGATAGATATAGATAGATATAGATATATAGATATAGAGATATAGATAGATATAGATATAGAGATATAGATATATAGATAGATATAGAGAGATAGAGATCTATCGATCTATCGATCGATCGATCGAATCTAAATATATAATATATATTATCATGCAAGAAGAAGCCATACGTGAACAAAACATCCAGGAATGCTACCATCGCCTCCGGCCCACAGTGTTTAAAATAAACGGAGGAAAAGTAGGAAAACGACTCTGTAGTCACACAAATCGAAATTTGAATTTTATATAATTTGTATATAGAGGTTTTCGAGCCACACAAGGCCTTCATATTTCAGCAAGACAATGCTGAACTGGCCTGCCTGAAATTCAAACCTTTCACTAAGTGAAAACAAGTTTGTGGATGATGAAGTAAAAAATAAAACACTTTTTTTGAGACCTGTTGCTTCCATCAAATTAAAAAAAATCTATTGCATTTTATCTTTTTTGACATATATTCTCCATGTTTTAGTATGACCAAAATATAAATTCATTGCATTTTATTTATTTGCATTTTACAAAGCATTCAAACTCATCGTTGTTTGTTCCATCTCCTCTAACCTTTACTAGTGGAAGAAGTTTCTTTCCTCTTGCTTTCAGAAAATGAAGGGCATATTCCTGTGTCTGTGATATCCTGATGGGACTGGAGTTGAGCCGAAGACTCTGGGGCTGCGTGCAGATAATGGTTTAATTAGCTCTGCGGTGCAGCTCTGCAATAGGGCTTTAGTTGGCTGTGGACAGTGCAGAGCTGTGGCAGCCCAGAGAGGCTGGTCCTGCTCAAAATGCTTCACAGCACAAAAAGACCACACCAACAAAGAGGAGATGGGGAGACCTGTCATAAGTTGTCGGGTGTAGCAAGTGCGAGGACCCAAAGGCAAAGAGCCAGATTGAAAGCAAATCATTTGTTTTAGGGTGATGAAAAAACTATCAATGTAATAAGGGAAACAGCTGAAACTAATTTTACTCCACACAGTGACAAGACTAATGCATTTAAACTTAAAGACACAAGGGTGGAGGCCTTAACTGGAATACAAATGTACATAACGAAGAACTTAAAGCCACAAGATACAAAGGAATATGAAATATACACAACAAACAAGGTAGGAACCAAATTGAACATCCAGTAAAAAGAATATAAACTCTGACTCTAGGACATTGGACCATGACAATCTTTCCATCAGTAGGTAAAACAGGAGTTGCTTTGGTCCTGTATGTATTCAGAGAGTTTTACTACAATCTACAAATGGTAAAAGAGCGTTCTAGATCACAAAAGAAGTTCCTGTATATTCAGAAAAATGCCGTTTCCTGGAAGCATTACCATCGGACTGCTTCCTTGAGGGCTAATTGACTGTTATTTATGTACATCATAAATATATTTTGGCCCTGAGCCATTAAGTTATCCATAAACTAACAGCAGCACTCAAACTGCTCTAGGACTGACTGGAAGCCAGTGAAAATGTGTAAGTGCACTAATGGGGCGATCGTGGCTCAAGAGTTGGCAGTTCGCCTCGTAATCAGAAGGTTGCCCCGGTCGAGCCCCGGCTCCGACAGTCTCGGTCGTTGTGTCCTTGGGCGAGACACTTCACCCGTTGCCTACTGGTGGTGGTCAGAGGGTCCGGTGGCGCCAGTGTCCGGCAGTCTCGCCTCTCAGTGCGCCCCAGGGTGGCTGTGGCTACAATGTAGCTGCCATCACCAGTATGTGAATGGGTGGATGATTGTGTGTAGTGTAAAGAGCTTTGGGGTCCTTAGGACCAAGTAAAGCGCTATACAAATACAGACCATTTAATGCACTCAGCTCTCTTGGTGCTGAGTGCATTAGTGTTGGTGAAAATGCTGAGTACCTTTTCAGAAGACACATGATAAATTCCTGTATTATCACAATAAAAAATGAGTTATCACTGCATTTTAACATTAAGTGCTAATGGTCACAACTTGAATGCTGGCATCTTGATCAGTATCTGTGTGGTGATTGTGGGGTGTAGCTATAGTTGGCCTACGAAGGACAAGATATTAAACACTGGTCTGTGGAACTAGTTTGCTATTGGAGCAATGGAGCGGTCAGTCATCAGTTAGTCAATCAAACGGGTCAAAGACGGAAGCGTGAGCTAAAATTACTGCAGCAGTTTCAGTTATGATACCACAGTTACTGACAATGATGTTTCCTGCTTTAGTCTTCTTTACAAATATTTGACTGACGCATTATATTATTCCTTTTTTCACAGTTTAACACTGTTAAAGTCCTGTCTGCTGCCCATAGTGCTCCCACTAATGACAAATTATTAATTGTGGCAATTTTGGTTATATTTTTACTCCCACACACCAGCAAACTAAAG